ATTCAAGGCTAGTACTTTACCACTTTGAGCCATAGGTCCACTTCTGTTTTTCTTTCTTTTTTTCTTTCTCTCTTCCTTCCTTCCTTCCTTCCTTCCTCTCTCTCTCTCTCTCTCTCTCTCTCTCTCTCTCCTTCTCTCTCTTTCTTTCTTTCTTCTTTTTTTTTTTTTTTTGGTCAGTTATGGGGCTTGAACTCTGGGCCTGGGCTCTGTCTCTCAGCATTTCACTCAAGGCTAAGGTTCTACCACTTGAGCCACGGCACCACTTCTGGTTTTCTGGTGGCTTATTGAAGATAAGAGTCTCACGGACTTTCCTGCCAGGGTTGGCTTTGAACTGCGATCCTCAGATCTCAGCCTTCTAAGTAGCTAGGATTACAGGCCTGATCCGCTGATGCCTAGCCACTTCTGTTTTTCTAATGGTTATTGGAGGTAAGAGTTCCACAAAGTTTTCCTGCCCGACCAGCTTCAAACCTTGATCCTAAGATCTCAGTCTCCTGAATAGTAAGGATTATAGGTGTTAGCCACCTGTGCCCAGCTTATTCTCAATTTTTAATATGTGAGTGTGTGTGTGTGTGTGTGTGTGTGTGTGCACGCGTGCGTGTACGCGCACACCAGTCCTAGGGCTTGAACTCAGGACCTGGGGACAGTCACTGAGCTTTTTTGCTCTAGGTTAGCACTCTACCACTTGAGCCACACTTTCACCTCCAGATTTTTGATGATTAATTGGAAATAAGAATCTTATGTAGGGGGCTGAGAAGGTGGCTCAGTGGTAGAGTGCTTGCCTTGCATGTATGAGGCCCTGGGTTTGATTCCTCAGCACCGCATACACAGAAAAAGCTGGAAGTAGAGCTGTGGCTCAAATGGTAGAGTGCTAACCTTGAGCTGAAGAGCTGAGGGACAGTGCCCAGGCCCAGAGTTCAGGCCCCACAATCAACCAAGAAAAAAAAAAAAAAAGAATCTTATGTACATTCCTGCCTGGGCTGGCTTTGACTCTCAACCCTCAGACCTCAGCTTTCTGAGTAGCTAGGATTATAGGCATGAGCGTGGCAGGACAAATATTTCTAATAATATTTAATTGTGTAGGTATTTTAAAATTAAACTAAAAGGTGTCATAATACTTTATAAAAACATAGTTTTATACAGTTCTTATAAAATTTCATATACCTTTACTAAGAAACACTAATTCAAATTAAATACATAGATTAGGGACTGACATATGCATATTATGTAAATTATGTGACATTTTGTAACTATGTTTATAAATGCTCAAAATGGGTCAGACATCTATAACCTCAAATGTTTGAGGAGGAACCTTTGGAGACTCATTAAAAATTAATTTAGATCATGTTTCAATATGTTACTTTGATATTATACATGCCATTAAGTAATTTTTTTTTTTTTTTTTACAAAAGTGACGAAGATCATGAGTACCTAAAGGGACCTTAAAGAAGCTAGGAATTAATCAAAAAAGGAAACAGTAATTATCAAACAAAATCCTAAATGTAGCTCACTTAACAGACACCTTGAAAAATAGCACTCCAATTTAACTGGGATAACTTCCAGATAATACACTTTGAGCAAAGCACATTTCAAAATCTCACAGCGAAATCTCAGCTCATCAGTTAAGTTCAGCAATCATCTCAGAGACAAATCAGTGCCAAAAAATTCTTTACACTGCTTTCTTTTTTAGAACTACAAGGGAAAAGGAGAACATCTATGTAGTCTCCCTATTTACAGAAGAGGAAACAAGAGACCAGAGCTTTATACACTCCATACAGGTCTGCTTTTCCACTCTTTCTGATTACGGTTTTCTTTACTGTCTATGGAATGGAATGGAAGTATGCTGCTAATGATTGTAGTAAAAAGCAATCTGATTTTCATTACACTTTTTAGAATTAAAGTAGAAAAATAATATGGGTATGTGAAATGGTATATAATATTGTCACTAAATCTTCCTTCTTTCAATGACTTGGTGTCAATGATGTTCCTTTGTTCAAGAAAAATGAAGTTTGTCTTGAGTGCTACTTTCCTAGGACCTTTATCTGGTATAATTCTGTTCATATTTGGCCCTTGGATTTTCAATGTGCTCCTAAAGTTTGTTTCTTCTAGATTGGCGTCCATAGGGTCTACAAATGGCCTTAGAAAGGAGCCTCAAATAAAATGGGCTTCAAAGTTTTACCATGGTTCCCTAAAATAGCACAAAAACCATATCCCATTCATCTACAAGATCCTTCCTCTGCCCTCACTCAGCAGGAAAATTACCTGGAGCTGACATTGTCCCTGTTTCCTAACAAGAGTGAGGGTTTTCATCCAAGAAAGGGATGAGGGAATCAAAACAGAACTGTTAGGTAGACAGGGACAAAAAATGGTGGATATAATATGTGGCAGATATATAATAAATGACATGGACTTTCTTATTCCTATAGTGCTTTGGGTTCCTGCTCAAATGGTTTCCTTCTCATAATGCCTTGAACAACCAGTCAACCATTGAAAATAACCTGGGTGACTCATGCACAAGCCAATCAAGCAAGGAAGATATAGGAGGAGCCTTGTACTATAAAATTTCCCTTCAACAAAAGAAAGAAAGAAAGAAAGAAATGTACTCATTAAAAGAAAAAAGCCAGAAGTGGCGCTGGGGCTCAAGTGGTAGAGCGCTAGCCTTGAGCTGAAGAGCTGAGGGACAGTGCCCAGGCCCAGAGTTCAGGCCCCACGACCGGACCCCCCCCCCCCCAAAAAAAAAATGCCCTCCAAGAGGATTCCACTGGACTCCTTTATAGAGTCCCTCTCTGAATGGTACTTTTTGCTAGAAACTTAAGGTAAACCTTGCCGACTGATCACCCAGGAATCATTCTCTTCCTTTCATCTATTAGCAGAATTCTAATGTTTTCAGGCAACACAGTGCTAAATCCCAGGAAATAAATGAGATTAGCCAAGCCTGGCAATCCTGATTCCTTTTGTTAGTAAATTGTCTAAGATGTGTGCTCTAGAATTGACCAATGAGTTGAAGGAAGTTGCTAGGATTACTTCCTCCCAGGTATGAATGTAGCAAGATGAGAAAGCTCTTTGTCCCTGAACACGTTTCTTACCACTTTGGATTTATCTTATTGGACCTGGTACTTAGAACTGAACCACTACTATCTTTTTTTTTTTTTTTGGTCAGTCATGGGGCTTGAACTCAGGGCTTGGGCACTAGTTCTCAGCTCTTCAGCTCAAGGCTAGCACTTTACTGCTTGAGCCACAATGCCACTTCCGGCTTTTTTTTCTTATGTGGTGCTGAGGAATTGAACCCAGGGCCTCATGCATGCAAGGCAAGCACTCTACCACTGAGCCACCATCCCAGCCCTTGAGACTCCATCTGATTGAAGTTGGGTGTGGTTGTTCATACCTGCTACCAACCCAGCTGTGGCAGGCAGTGCAAAATAGGATCACACTTCAGATGTGGCCCAGGCAAAAAGAAAGAACTAATCTCAAAATAATCAGCACACACAAAAAAAGGCTGAAGATGGCTCAGCAGGAGAGCACTGCCTAGCAAGCTCAAGACCTTGATTTCACATTCAAGTTCCACAAAACAAAACAAAAATATCCTATTCAACTGTATTACTCGCTAACATCTGGGGAGAACCTAGAAATATTATTAATCTTACAACTTTGTTGTAAGGATCTATAGCCTTCCACTCTATTTTCTATTTAGTTTTTTTTTTTTGCGGGGGGGGGGGGGGGGGGTCCTGGTCGTGGGAGCTATTCCTCAGCTCTTCAGCTAAGGCTAAGGCTCTACCACTTGAGCTACAGCGACACTTCTGGCTTTTTTCTATGCTTATGTGGTGCTGAGGAATCAAACCCAGGGCCTCAGGCATGCAAGGCAAGCACTCTACCACTGAGCCATCTTCCTAGCCCCTCTATTTTCTATTTATAAGGGAGGAAAAACAAAAACACGTGTGTCAATATAAATTCCCAAAATATCTGGTAAATATCATGGCAAAAATAAGATGATTTCTAAGCAAAAAAAAAAAAGATAATTTTTAAAAGTGGTAACAGCCAATTTTTAAGAACTATGAAACAGGAAGTCAATCATAAATATTTCCTAAACTGTAAGAACTTCCTTATTTCAAACTATTGCATTTAACCATGTTTCTATCAATATAAAAACCACAAAATTTACTCTTCCTCAATTACAGCTCTTCACATAGAAACTGATACAACATATATTCTGGAGACAACAGAAAAAATTATATCCACTGTCTAAGAATCAACAAAGTCATACTTTGCATAGAAACTCATTAGAACTGAGGGTTTTTTTTAAAGTTATTTATATCAGGCATAGTGATGCAGGCCTATAAGCTCAGCTACTCAAGAGGTAGAAGTAGGATGATCCTGAGTTTGAAGCCTACCAAAACACAGTTAGCTTTCTCTAGCTTTTTTTTTTTGGTAGGTCATGGGGCTTGAACTCTGGGCTTGGGCGCTGTCCTTCAGCTCAAGGCGTGATCTCTACCGCTTGAGCTACGGCGGCACTTCCGGTTTTCTAGTGGTTTATTGGAGATAGGAGTCTCATGGAGTTTCCTGCCCGGGCTGGCTTTGAACCTTGATCCTCAGATCTCAGCCTCCTGAGTAGCTAGGATTACAGGCGTGAGCCACCAGTGCCCGGTTGCTATCTCTATCTCTTACAAGCAGAAGTGTTAGGGCATAGCTCAAGTTGTAGAGCACTTGCCTAACATGCATGAGGCCCTGGGATCCATCCCTAGAATGGGGGTTGGGAAAAGAGTATTATAGTATGTCAACCATAAGTATATTTACCTAATATTGCCTTAATTAATTTTTGTTTTCTTTTATGACTAATTTTCACTGTGTAGGCCATACTGGTTTCAAACTTAGATAGTCTTCCTGCATCAATCTCATCAAGTGCTAGAATTACAGGGTGTATCACCATGCCCAGACTCTAATTAATTTCTATTTGAGCAATACAGCATGAACATGCAATGTTTCTGAGCTGATAACATGCAACTTACCTTCCCACATGCTCGACAATGATGCCTCCTTTTGGTGAACGTGAACCGTGCTTCACACTTCATGCAATTTGGAGCCTGGGAATCTGGTACCCATACTGGAGCCACCTCACCTAGAGTGGTAAATGGCTTTCTGGCAGAAATTCCAAACTGACTAGCTCTGAGATCATTATCTGGGCTATCTGGGGCTACTGCAAGGCACGGTCTACTGGGGATCTCAGCCTCATAACTTTCTAAATGTTCCCCATTTGTATCAGCAATAGAGTTATTTCCCATAGATGCACTGCCTACATTGGTTGCTGTGTTCTCCCCTAACTTTGCTTTCCCAAGAATATCATTTTTGTTTTTAATGTTATTTCCACTGTTCACAGGAAGGTCATTTTGTAAATGGTCTGATAATGGCTTTGGAATTTGAAGTTTAAGATTAGAAGGTTGCTTAGGTCTTGCACCACCAAAAGGAACACTGATAGTTTGCAGGTTTGCTACTATCTTGGGGGAAGACTGCCCATGTACTGAAGAAACTTGACTAGGGAAATTATGTAAATAATTTTTCTTCATCAGGTCCCCAGTGCTATTTAAAAGTAGTCCACTCCCTTCTGTGGCCTCATTTCCTCTCTGATCATAAATATTTGAGTAGCATTCTGACTTGCTCTCTTCTATTTCCTTTTCTTCGGTTACGGAATCTTCTTTGGAGGGTAAAGTCTTTGGAACAAAAGAAACAACTGGGCTCTGCATTCCATAGGAATCACAACCATTAGACAGGGAATTTGCTGGTGTATCTACAATTGTGGAGAAATCACATCCTTCACTTTGACTTGTGTAAGTTCCTTGGCTATCAAGACCTGCATCTGCCATTCCAGCACATTCCCCTTCACTATCACCATTAGTGTCCTCAAGCTGTAAAAACTTTTGATTTTCTTCATTTACTTGGCTATCACTCATCTCATTTAGCTTAGTCAATTTCCAATTAGTCATCTCCTGAGGGCCAGAGAAATGCTCTGTCAATTTAGGAAATTCTGTAGTGCCAAGAATTTCTTCATGCTCATAAACTTCATTTTCATCAGCCCTAACTTCACTAGGCACAACACAACCTGAAGATTGTTTGCAGTTATCATCCCTTTGGGACCCATTTTTCATGTCTGGTTTGAGATATGAAGATAAGCCAGACAAGTGTTGTTCTTCAGCTGTTCTCTCCTCTGTTGGCTTTTTTTCTGTCAAAATCTCCTCACTCAAATGGGAAAGAGAGCTTAGACTCCCTGGATCTGTCCTAGGAGAGCTGGTTTTGCCTGTAAGACCCTCATCTGGAGGATTGTCCTCTTGTTTGTTAGCAGCAGGATCTCCATCTGTTCCCTGGGATGAGATCACTGAATCAACTGTTAAACCTGTAATCACAGACATAGAAGGGTCTCTACTTATATTTTCATCATCCTTTAACTGTACTGGGGAACAGGCACTGGCTATATTATCAGATGGAGTACCATACAAGTGGTTAACAGAATCCCCCTCTGTTTTTGGTCTATTCAATGGATCCATTAGTTTCTCTGAGTTCATATCTTTTTCAGTGGACCCATTCATACTAAAACTAAATTGATCAGTTTGTCTATTTTCATTATCCAGTGAACAACTAAAAGAATCCATGAGGGATTGACTATTATAATTATTACAATCCTGAAGTTCACTTTGTAATGTCCTTTTATCACAGTTATGCATGACAGCTACAACAAGAACATTCTTATCATCTGGCAGACAAGTTAGATTTCCACATTTCTTCTCTCCCACTTCAACAGCACTGCACTGAGCATCCAGAGTACAGTTTCTCTTCATTAACTGATCTTCTGCAATGGCATTTTCATCAATCCACATTGTGGCAATTTCTGGATTTAGACTACAGTCCTGTCCATTAGCACATGTATCTTCTTCCTCCCTGGTCACTGTTGTTGGATGCGCCAGGGAGAAGACTTTCAATGGTGATTGTGATTCACTAGAAACTGCAGGTTCATTCACATTGGCCAGCGTAGGATTAAATGATAGTCGATGAGAAGAGGACTCTAAAATCTTATTCCACTTTGTGTCCAATAAAGTAGGAGAAATTGTTTCATCTAGAAAAAATAAGTAGTTACAATAAGTTTGTTAGTAAAACTGGGGCTACTAGAACTATATTAATAAACATTTCCACTTATACACTAAAATATTCTTAGAGATATGAAGGTTATGAAAATGTATTTAAGACAATTATGAAATTATGTAATTATAATCACCAAATGAAAATACCTCAGAACATTTTAAACAAGTAAAGAATTCTACTTTAATTAGTAACATAACTAAACTGATCTCCAGACTCAGAAAGGAAAGCATTCTCTGAATGTCCATGCATAAGGCAGGAGCACATAGACTAATACAAAATGGGGTGAGGCTAAGGGGACAGAAAAAAGTACATAGCAGTTGTGTAGGCAGAAAAATGATGTAATTTTCTGTGGACAGTGAATGTTATTTCATTTAAACTGTGATGGGATGTGGGTAATATGGCTATCTCCACTTGTCAAAACTGTACAAGTTGGCCAGGCATGCAGGCATCTGCCTGTAGACATAGTTACTTGGGTGGTAAGATGGGAGGATCACTTGAGCTCACAAGTTCATAAAGCGGTTTAGGCAACATAGTGAGACCCTGTCTCAAAACAAAGCAAAAGTCAAAAATTACAGTAATGGCTAGGCACCAGTGGCTCACGCCTGCAATCCTAACTACTCAGGGGGCTGAGATCTGAGGATCCGAGTTCAAAGCCAGCCTGGGCAGAAAAGTCCATGAGACTTTTATCTCCAATTAAATCACCAGACAACTGAAAGTGGCACTACGGCTCAAGTGGTAGAGTGCACGCCTTGAGCTGAAGAACTCAGGGATAGCTCCCAGGCCCAGAGTTTAAGCCCATGACTGACAAAAAATAAAAATAAAAAATTACAGTAAAGATTTGTATGTATTAGTGCATATAAAGTTTACCTATAAAAACTTTTTTAAATGCCAAAACTTTTAAAAAATGCATAGTATTATCTATAATCCTAGCCACCATTCAAGGCCAGCCCAAGGAAAAGGTTAGTAAGATCCCCTCAGAAAAACAAATAAAGCATAAAGAGCTGGAGGTGGCTGAAGTGGAAGCATACTTGCATAGCAAGTTGAAAGCTCTAAATTCAAATCCCAGAACCATTACAAAGAAAACATTTACAAAAATGAAACAGAAACTGAAATACAAAGGAAAGTATGAGACAAAAATGTCAGCATGTGAATTCACAATTAAAGGTGAATGATACGTATACTGAGAATTAATATACTATTATCTTTTTACATATTTTAATATTTTCCATTGTAAGTTTTTTAAAATTTACTATAGTATGTGAAGTCCTGTAACCATGTCACAACACATTATTGAATTAGATTCATATTTCTACTATCTGAGAATACTGGCAAAAAAATGTCAACTTATCTTATTAAACTTAGTCTATCAATAAATGTAATTTTATATCAAATTTGTTCCTTTTGTGAATTTTTTTTGTTTTTATAAAGGTGATGTACAGAGGGTTACAGTTACATAAGTCAGGTAAAGAGTACATGTTTTTTGGGGGGTCCGGTCATGGGGCCTGAACTCTGGGCCTGGGTGCTGTCCCTCAGCTCTTCAGCTCAAGGCTAGCACTCTACCACTTGAGCCATAGCACTACTTCTGGCTTTTTTCTTTTTGCTTATGTGGTGCTGAGGAATCGAACCCAGGGCCTCATGCATGCAAGGCAAGCGCTCTACCACTGAGCCACCTTCTCAGCCGGAAGAGTACATTTCTTTTTAGACAGTGTCACCCCTTCCTTTGCTCTGTTTTTCCCTCTCATCCCCATCCACATTTTCAGATAGTGTTAGTGAATATCACTGCTACATTTGTTTATCCCTTGTCCCTCCCATTTCTGTGCCCTACCTCTTGCCCTCCCAAAGACAGATAACGAACAAATAAGACCAAAAACAAAACAAAAACAGAGAAAAAACTACTTCTATTCTTTTTTTTCATTGGTCGTGGGGCTTGAACTCTGGGCCTGGGTGCTGTCCCTGAGCTCTTCAGCTCAAGGCTACCGCTCTACCACTTCTGGTTTTTCTGGTGTTTAATTGGAGATAAGAGTCTCACAAACTTTCCTGCCTAGGCTGAGTCTGAACCTCAACTCTCAGATCTCAGCCTCCTGAGTAGCTAAGATTACAAGTGTAAGCCACCAGCCCCTGGCCTATTCACTTTTTATCAGATCATAATTATGATAGCTAAGTTATTCTCCCAGGTTATAGAATTATTTTGTAGGTCAAAGTAAAATAAAGAAATAGGAAATGATGGACTTGATGCCTTTCCTGTTCTCTTACTCTAACTGATAATAATGGTGCTGAAATTATGCAGATATATTTACAATAATTATCAAACCATGCATAGCACCTTCTTAAGATCTTTATTAAAGCCTTTAGTATACTATTACACAATAATTTATTTGTATTCACTGAATGAAGATAAATGATTTCTGAAGCAGAAGCCATTTTGTTCTACCAGTATAAGTCCTCATGGTGCATAGGTATACAATAAATATACAGTGAGTCTCTACTATAATAAAATCATTGGTTTTATGATACATTAAGATTAAATGATGGTTGGCACCATTACAAAATATATAATGTAGCTGGGAATATGAGATATAGATACAATTGAAATGAATACCTAATAAGCAGTACAGGGTAGCCTCTGTATCTCTAAACTCCATGTGGAAACAGAAAATCAATTCAGAGAAAAGGTATCTTTTCAGTATGAGTTAAGTGAGCTCTAATTCATGACAGCAAGAACTGGAGTAGGCTTCAAAACACCTAAATCTGGAAAAGAAACTGTAACTAAGGGAACAAGCAAAAGTATAACCCCAAACAGAAGGATTTAAAAGAGCTAAGTAAATTTGCTCCAGGGTCTCATACCTGTAATCCTAGCTACTCAGAAGGCTGAGATCTAAGGATCACAGCTGGAAGCCAGTGGGGGAGGAAAGTCTGAAAGACTCTCATCTCCAAAAAAGTACTCAGAAAAAGCTGGAAGTGGTGTTATGGCTCAATGATAAGAGTGCTATCCTTGAGCAAAAGCTCAAGGACAGTGGCTCAGGCCCAGAGTTCAAGCCCCAGCATGGGCAGAAAAAGAAAAGAAAAGAAAAAAGAAATATGATATAGTTACAACCAACAGGTAGTGTTTAGAAATCTTTTTCCTTATAAAGGAATTATTTTTTGTAAATCTATGATGTACTGCTATGTTTACAGATTCAAAAAAGTATACTTTAAAATATTACATACAAAGTACCCAACTAGAAACTACAGAACACACACACACACACACACACACGCACGCACGCACGCACGCACGCACGCACGCACGCACACCCCTAATAGTTTTATGAGGTCAATGGTATTCTGGCTTTCTTTTTTTTTTGCGGGGGGGGGGGGTCCAGTTGTGGGGCCTGAGCTCTGGGCCTGGGCGCTGTCCCTCAGCTCTTTAGCTCAAGGCTAGCGCTCTACCACTTGAGCCACAGCGCCACTTCCGGCTTCTTTCTTTTGCTTATGTGGTGCTGAGGAATCGAACCCAGGGCCTCAGGCATGCAAGGCAAGCGCTCTACCACTGAGCCACCTTCCCAGCCCTAAATCAATGGTATTCTGAATGCATACTATTCACATGGTTAGGTTTAACACTTGCCTAGACATCTCACAACTTAAACAATTGCAATACACAGAGGATTGAAGAATGTATTACAAAAATATTTGTATCAATGGCTGAATCTCAGAGGATGACATACTTTCTGGCCTGGTATTTAGAAAGCATACTTCAATCCAACAAAATCCCTAATCATTTAGATTTCACATTTACATGAATCAGGAATGAGCCAAGGGAAATGAGATAGAACTGAGTCATAAATGATTATGAGCAAGTCATTCCAGATATCTTTCCAGGTATCATACCCCTTATACTTATTATTCCATATTCTTTTTTTCTTTTTTCTTTTTTTTTTTTGGTCAATCATGGGGCTTAAACTCTGGGACTGGGCACTGTCCCTCAGCAATTCAGCTCAAGGCTAGCATTCTACCACTTGAACCAGAGTGCTACTTCTGGCTTTTTTTTTTTTTTTAATATTTTTATTATCCTTTCTTTCTTTTTTTTTTTTTTCAGTTGTGGGGTCTGAACTGTGGGCCTGGGCATTGTACCTCAGCCCTTCAGTTCAAGGCTAGCACTCTACCACTTAGGCCACAGCGCTACTTCCAGCTTTTTCTGTGTATGTATGTGGTGCTGAGGAATCGAACCCAAAGCCTCAGACATGCAAGGCAAGCGCTCTACCACTGAGCCACCTTCCCAGCCACTTCTGGCTTTTTCTGCTTATGTGGTGCTGAGGAATTGATCCCAGGGCCTCATGAATACAAGGCAAGCACTTTACCACTGAGCCATCTTCCTAGCCCATATCCCATATCTGTTTTTATTTCTTTTCGTTTCTTTTTTTTGTTGGTCCTGGGGCTTGAACTCAGGGCCTGGGTACTGTCCTTGAGCTCTTTTTGTTCAAGGCTATCACTCTACCACTTTGAGCCACAGCGCCACTCCTGATTTTCTGGTGGTTAATTGGAGATAAGAATCTCACACTTGGGCTGGGAAGGTGGCTCAGTGGTAAGCGCTTGCCTTGCATGCATGAGACCCTGCGTTCGATTCCTTAGCACCACATAAGCAAAAAAAAAAAGAAAAAAGCCAGAAGTGGCACTGTGCTCAAGTGGTAGAGCGCTAGCCTTGAGCTAAAGAGCTGAGGGACAGTGCCCAGGCCCAGAGGTCAGGCATCACAACCGGACCAAAAAAAAAAGAATCTCACACTTTCCTGCTAGGGCTGCCTATGAACCATGATCCTCAGAGCTCAGCCTCCTGAGGAGTTAGGATTACAGGGGTGAGCCACCAGTGCCCCACGGTATTGAAGCTTTTAAACTCAGAGTCTCAGACTTACTAGGCAGGCACTCTAAACTTAGCCAGCTTACCCCTTCTTACTCCAGTTATTTTTCATATAGTGTTACAGGCATGTGCCACGACTCCTAGCCTGAGAAATTAGTTTTGATTTGGTTACTTTGGGTCTATCGAAGTCTTAAATAGAACATGGGCTGGGCTCTAGTGGCTCACACCTGCAATCCTAGCTACTGGGGAAGCTGAGATCTGAAGATTGAGGTTGAAAGCCAGCTAGGGCAGGAATGTCCATGAGACTCTTATCTCCAATTTACCACCAGAAAACCAGAAGTGGCGCTGTGGTTCAAGTGGTAGAGAGCCTGCCTTGAACTGAAGAGCTTAGGGACAGTGCCTAGGCCTAGAATTCAAGCTCTATGACCGACAAAAACAAAAACAAACACAAAACCTGAAGATTAGGAAGTCTACTTTCTTGAGGTTGTTTTTGTTTTTTTTTTTGGTAGGTCCTGGGGCTTGAACTCTCGGCCTGAGCGCTGTCCCTCAGCTCTTCAGCTCAAGGCTGGCACTCTACTAGTTGAGCCACAACACCACTTCTGGCTTTTTCTGCTTACGTAGTGCTGAGGAATTAAACCCAGGGCCTCATGCGTACAAGGCAAGAACTCTAGCACTGAGCCACATTCCCAGCCTTGAGGTTGTTTTAAACATTAAATTACATGATCCATATACCTGGCACATAAAATAAAAATATTTCTTCCTCTAATAATCATGTTAACATAATACTGTATTCTCTTATTTCAAATTCTCTTTATCATAAATCCAAACAGATTCAACGAAGTAAGTCTGTACCTTCGTTTTGTTCAAATTCATCTAACACCTTGTCCAGGTTATAAGCTTCTGCCTGGAAATAATTCTCCATCAGTGAGGAAACACAGCTTAAGAGACGTTTTTTTAAAGCCTAAAAAAGAGTAGATAAAAATTGGTATTGAGCCCTGAATTATTAAACTATAACTTATAAATCTTAAGTATAAAAGAATATAATCTCATAAAGCTACATAGACAATGCAAACAATAAAGCTTGTCATGCCCCTAAAGATTTTATTTTATTTTTGGTTGATCATGGAGCCTGAACTCTGGGCCTTGGCGCTGTCCCTCAGCCCTTCAGCTCAAGGCTAGCGTTCCTACCACTTAAGCCATAACGCCACTTCCAGCCTTTTCTGCTTATGTGGTACTGAGCAATCGAATCCAGGGCCTCATGCATGCAAGGCAAGCACTCTACCACTGAGCCACCTTCCCACCCACGCCCAAAGATCTTTAAGTTAGAAACTGAAGGACGACAATCATCAAAATATAGTTGGTCCTCTGAATCTGTGAGTTCCTGTATCTGCAGCCATAGCCAATCACAGATGGAAAATCTTTTGAAAGAAATCGCATCTGTACTGAATATGTACAAATATGATTTCTTGTCATTATTCTCTAAACAATATAACAAAACAATTCTTCACCAAGATTTTACATTTTATATGGTTTTATAATAATCTAAAGATGATTTGAGTATATAGGAGGATATGACACACATTATATAAAATACTACACAATTTCATATAAATGACTTGCATATCCATGGGTTTTGGAATCTGCAGGGGTATTTGTACAATTCCCCCACGGACACTGAGGGACAATCATAGAACTAAACAAAGAAGGCATACCTGTTCAACTCAATAGAGCATGCTTCAAAAGACCAATCTCAGATGTTGAGAAAATTATTGTTCTGCCTGGGATAAAAATACATTTCTAACAGAAGAGGAAGCTTTCAGAATTTTTGTCAACTGGGGAATGACAGGAAAGTATAAGCATGGAATAAAGGATGCTACTTGCTTTTTTCAATACTATTTCTTCTCTTTAATACTATTTCCTAGCTCCCTTAACTTATCTAAATGTTATCCTCTGGATGTAGATGCTAACTGTGTCAACTCTTTATCAGAATGCCAGGAGCCCATAGTGGGAGTTAAATAAATTATCCCACCCCTGTGTATGATTCCATTATCAGGATCTCTTTGCTTATCTATTTCCTTAATTTCTCAAAAAAATGTTTTTCAAACTGGAAACTTCACTTGTCTTCTTATTGCTATATACAAGATCGTCATATTACAATTTCCACAAAAAGTCTAAAGAAACAAGAAGGAAAATCAGAAATGTAATACCCTGCTATTATAAATGTTTAAATCAAATATAAAAAGTGACAAATGCTTTTTATTTATAATGTTTATTTTCTCTCATTTTATAAATAAGAAAATAAACTCAGGGAATTTAATTGACTTTTTTTTTTTTTTTTTTGGGTCCGGTCATGGGGCCTGAACTCTGGGCCTGGGCGCTGTCCCTCAGCTCTTCAGCTCAAGGCTAGCACTCTACTACTTGAGCCACAGCGCCACTTCCGGCTTTTTTTTTCTGCTTATGTGGTGCTGAGGAATAGAACCCAAGGCCTGATGCATGCAAGGCAAGCGCTCTACCACTGAGCCACCTTCCCAGCCCTTAATTGACTTTTTAAGTACTCCCCCCCCTCCAAGATGATAGATTAGATGAAATAGGCAGATAGATAGTGGTACAGGGTTAAAACTCAGAACTTTAAGCCTGCTTCGCCAAGAACAAATGTCTCCACTCCTTTTTGTTTTAGCCCTTTGAGACAGAGTCTCACATTTTGCCTGAATCAGTCTAGTCTGTGATTCTCTTGTGTTCAATTCTTGCTATAGCTGGGATGTCAGACATGGACTAGCATGCCCAGCTATTATGGCACATGGCTAGCGTTTCTTTTCCCTGTTGAAACAGTTTGACCCAGGCTGGCCTGGAACCTCTGTCTTGATCCCAGCCATTACGGAGCAAGAATGACAGACAGGAACAATGATTGAGATGGTTGAGATAACTGTCTTAATTTTTTGTTTGGACTAGCATCAGAATTGTAATCCTCAAATCCCCTCTTCCCACTGCTCAGGATTACAGGTGTGAGCTATTGGTACCTATTCCCAAGTTTATTTTATTTAAGTCAACTTACCTACCACCAGCATGTTCATCATTATAAAAAATTAAAGCTGGCACCAGTGGCTCACCCCTGTAATCCTAGCTGCTCAGGAGGCTGAGATCTGAGGATCAAGGTTCAAAGCCAGCCCAGGCAGGAATGTCTGTGAGACTTTTATCTCTAATTAACCACCAGAAAACCAGAAGTGGAGCTTTGGCTCAAGTGGTAGAGCACTCACCTTGAGCTAAAGAGCTTAGGGACAGTGCCCAAGCCTCACAACAACAACAACAAAAAAAAGTAAATAACCAAACTAACATACTTATTGTACATCTACTGTGTAAAGAGTATTTCAATTAATTAAAGTCTCAGAAATAACCCATAATGTCAAGGAGCTTATAGTTTACTTAGTAAACAATAAGAAAATTTAAGTAATAATGTTTTTAATAACAACTCAGTACAAGAAACAATATATCACCAGATGCTCTATGATTAATTTTTCAGATAAAACAGATAAGCACTACAAAATAAACATTACAGAAGTCCAAGAAGTTATTTAACTTCACTTTCTTGAGCTTGAGAGCTGCTATTTGTATGATTTTTTTTTTTTTTTTTTTGCCGGTTGTGGGGTCTGAACTCTGGGCCTGAGCACTGCCCCTCAGCTCTTCAGCTCAAGGCTAGTGCTTTACCACTTGAGCCACAGCACCACTTCTGGCTTTTTCTGCTTATGTGGTGCTGAGGAATCGAACCTAGGGCCTTATGCGTGCAAAGCAAGCACTCTACCACTGAGCCACCTTCCTAGCCCCTTGCATGATTTATTTTATTTATTCATTTATTTATTTATTTATTGCCGGTCAAGGGGCCTGAACTCTGGGTCTGGGCACTGTCCCTCAGCTCTTCACCTCAAGGCTAGTGCTCTACCACTGGAGCCACAGCACCACTTCTGGCTTTTTCTGCTTATGTGGTGCTAAGGAATAGAACCCAGGGCCTCATGATGCAAGGCAAGCACTCTACCACTGAGCCACCTTCCCAGCCCTTGTATGATTTTTTAAAGGCAAGGATTCTGTAAACCCCGGAAAGATTAGGATTCCTCTTATTCCACAATAATCTACTCTTTTTTTTTTTTTTTGGTCGGCTGTGGGGCTTGAACTCTGGGCCTGGGCGCTGTCCCTCAGCTCTTCAGCTCAAGGCGAGCGCTCTACCACTTAAGCTACAGCGCTACTTCCGGTTTTCTGGTGGTTTATTGGAGATAGGAGTCTCAGGGACTCTCCTGCCTGGGCTGGCTTTGAACCGCGATCCTCAGATCTCAGCCTCCTGAGTAGCTAGGATTACAGGCGTGAGCCACCAGCGCCCGGCTCTAATCTATTCTCTTGATCAGAGAAAAGAACATGGATTTGACAAATAGTGTTAGTGCTGGGCACTGGTGGCTCATGCCTATAATACTAGCAACTCAGGAGACTGAGATCTGAGGACTGAGGTTTGAAGTCAGCTAAGCAGCAGTAAATTGATTCTAAAAGGAGAGAGCCAGCCCTGCTTGAGAATTTAACAGTAATTTAAAAACACTTTCTTGTTCTGGATTAAAGCAGATCTTTCTAAACAAGTTTGTTTCTGGTTTAATGAGAGACGTTATAAAGAAAGTAAATAGAACATATGAATCAGCATTGCTTCCTATAGCTCTAGTTGTTTTCTCAAGGTCAGTTTCATAAAGAAATGAAAACATTGGTTTTCTTACCTTCTTCCCCTTATGCACGTGATAAGGAACAGCCTGCTCCTTGCTTACTCATGATGCTTGCTGCACCATCAGGCAGTCCTGATGATTCAGTATGCCCTGGCTGATCCTAAAGAAAACAGACTGCTCATTACATTTGCTAAAACAATAAGCCATAATTTTCATCATATAAATCTATCATCGCCAGACAAAAGCAATGGAGTTTAACAATAAACTATAATTATATTTTCAGCTTCAAAGACCTGCTTATAGGGAATTCAGCAGTATACAAATTTCATTGCCTAAGAAAGCCAAAAATTAAATGTGTCAAGGAAGAGTTAAGAATTTCTGCACACTCATGTTCAGTGGATAATACATGGTGAAACATCAAGAACAAGTACTTTCTATATAATTACTTCAATCATCTTAATTCATAAAAATATAATTTACTTTTTATTAAAATAGGCTCTCTGAGAACCCAAGTTAAGAAGACTGTTGCTTTCTAAGAATGTCTTTTTTTTGGGGGGGGAGGGGTCTGGTCATGAGGCTTGAACTCTGGGCCTGGGTGCTGTCCCTTAGCTCTTCAGCTCAAGGCTAGCACTCTACCACTTGAGCCACAGCGCCACTTCTGGCTTCTTTTTGCTTATGTGGTGCTAAGGAATCGAACCCAGGGCCTCATGCATGCAAGGCAAGCGCTCTAACACTGAGCCACCTTCCCAGCCCCAAGAATGTCTTCTTGTATGATTATTTTTCCTATATATAGAGTTCTTGAGTTCTAAAAGCTTCCTATTGAGAATTTATTGCCAAGCAACTGTTCTTCCTCCAAATGGAGTTTCTCTGTATTCCAGTCATCCTCCATTGCTTAAAAGCAGTGGCTTGCTGGGTACCAGTGGCTGATGCCTGTAATCCTAGCTATACAGGAGGCTGAGATCTGAGACTCAAGGTTTGAAGCCAGCCCAGACAGAAAAGTTCATGAGACTCTTATCTCCAATAAACTACTCAGAAAAAGCCAAAAATAGTGCTGTGGCTCAAATGGTAGAGCACTAGCTTTGAACACAAAGAGGCTCAGGAACAGCAACCAGGCCCTGAGTTTAAGCCTTAAGACTGGCATTTAAAAAAAAAAACAAAAAACATGGGGCTGGGAAGGTGGCTCAGTGGTAGAGCACTTGCCTTGCATGCTCGAGGCCCTGGGTTCGATTCCTCAGCACCACATAAGCAAAAAAGAAAAAAGCCGGAAGTGGTGCTGTGGCTCAAGTGGTAGAGCACTAGCCTTGAGCTGAAGAGCTGAGGGACAGCGCCCAGGCCCAGAGTTCAGGCCCCACGACCGGACCCAAAAAAAACAAAAAACAAAAAACAAAAAAAAACCAAGAGTAAGAATATCCTATTATCAGTATATTAGTACAGATCAAATTGAAAAAATAAAATAAAAATAAAGCCAGGTGCTCATGGCTCATGTCTATAATCCTAGCTACTCAGGAGGCTGAGATCTGAGGATCACAGTTCAAAGCCAGCCCAGGTAGGAAAGTCCGAGAAACTCTTATCTCCATTAAATCACCAGAAAACCGAAAGTGGCTCAAGTGACAGAGTGCTAGCCTTGAGCTGAAGAGCTGAGGGAGAGTGCCCAGGCCCAGAGTTCAAGCCCCATGACCAACAAAAAAATAAAACGAAAATCTTTTTTTTTGTTGTTTGAATTTTGTTGCTTGAATTTAGGCCTAGGTGCAGTCTCTGACTTTTTTGCTCAAGGCTACCATTCTACCATTTGAGCCATTACTCCACTTCAAGCTTTTTGGTAGCTAGAAGTAATAGTCTCTTTTCCTGGCTAGCTTCAAACAATCCTCAGATCTCAGCATCCTTTGTTGCTAGGATTACAGGCATGAGACACTGTCACCCAGCTCCAAATGAATATTTTTAATAAGTAATCAGTTGGTAGAGGGCAGGGCAAAAACTCTGCTATAAGAATCTGCCAGACACAAATTTGAATTCATGTCTAGTCTTTAACAGCTAGTTCTACATTCAACAGCTTATTTAACCTCTCTGAGCCTCAGTTGCTTTGTACTTTACATAAAAACTGTACTTTGTATATTAAATTTTTAGTGATGAAGAATGTAACTTTATATGAAGAATTTTACATTGCACAGACCTAATAGTGCTTTAAAAATGATATCTAATGTTATCCATCATCAAAAACAACCTAGGTGAAAGAACTAGAACAGGAAAATAAACAATGATTTGAACCATGAAACCAACCATGGACTGGTTTGTTTATACAATTAGTAATTTATCAGTAATCTATCAGGGCAGTTGGTCTTACATGATCAAGCCTGAAGAATGAAACATAGTGAAAGAAATAAAAGTGTAACCTAATTGTTTAGCTTTCTGAAGAGGCTAAATCTGATCCTAAAAAGACACCCTTTGAATATGAACACTCTCACAGTAGCAGTAAAAAGAAAAAATAACCACTGGAAAGAGCTTTATTCCTGTTGAGGAAGACATTAAGAGAAAAGGATCTGGGAAGCTGACATTGTTGTTACATCACAGTCACACAGGGTTTCAATTACTAAGATAGCAACCCTGTATCTTTCACTAACATGGATTCTCTGTCAAGAGCTATAAAGAACAAGGTGATTGTTTGCAACTGGTACATCCTAAAGAAAAGTTAAGAGGAGTTTAAAACAAATACTGGGAAAACATGATTATAATAGGGGTACAAATATTACATTGCCATCAAAATGCCTAGAACAGCAGCTGATTTGAGTCATTAAACAAAGAGCATTGGTAGATGGGCATTGGTGGCTCATGCCAGTAATCCTAGCTACTCAAGAGGCTAAGATACAAAGATCACAGTTCAAAGCCATCCTGGCAGGAAAATCCATGAGACTCTTGTCTCCAATGAACCACAGAAAACCAGAAGTGGCACTGTGGCTCAAGTGGTAGAGCGCTAGCCTTGAGCTAAAGAGCTTAGGGACAGCGCCCAGGCCCAGAGTTCAAGCCCCATAACCAGGAAAAAAAAAAAAAAGCCATTAAATTGATAGGTGTAATTTAACTCACATCTCTTTCAGTGACCATTCTTATCGTGTATATGTTTTTATGCCTATAACATAGTAAATAACACCTGTATATGCATCTTTATACTTTTAATGTATAATAAATTTCCAAAAGAAAATACACATTTTAACTTTTCATAAATATTGTCAATTTTTCCACCAAACTTGATAATTACATATGTTTTCTCCAGACATATACAAGTATCTTTTTTCTTCACAATCTTGTGACTACTGAGTAAAATCAAACTTAACCAATGTTACAGAAAGGAAATAGGACCTAATTTCCTAATTTGTATTTTTAATTTTGAACAAAAATGTAATACGCACTTCTATCTTTCCCATGTTTATACTTTCCTGTTTTTACTGGTCTCTCTGCAATTGCAGAATTTGTCCCAGTTTAGTGGAGCTTTTCCTACATGGATGTCTCCTATTTGACAAATTGGTCAATCTTTTCCTTTTTGGTGTCTACATTTCAATTCATGCTTAGAAAAGTAAACATTATAAAAAGATTTAACTGCTTTTTTCTGCTATTTTCATGATTGCTTTTTGGGGGGGGGAGGGGGGGTTATGCGGTCCTGGGTACTGTCCCTCAGCTCAGAAGCTCAAGGCTAGGGCTCTACCACTTAAGCCACAGTGCCACTTCTGGTTTTCTGGTGGTTTACTGGAGTCAAGAGTCTCACAGACTTTCCTGCCTGGCCTGGCTTTGAACTGTGATCCTCAGATCTCAGCCTCCTGAGTAGCTAGAATTGCAGGCGTGAGCCACCAGCGCCCAGCTCATGATTGCTTTTGTTTTACTTTTTCATCATCAAGAATCTATTTTGGTAGGGAAAATCTGTATAACTTGCTCTCCTTGTTCACTAATACATCTTATATCCAAGTAACAATAGCTCACACCTGTAATGCTAGCTACTCAGGAGGCTGAGACCTAGAAGATGAAGGTTTAAAGCCTTCCAGGGCAGGAAAGTCTGATCGACTCTATCTCCAATTAACCAGCAAAAAGGTTAAAAGCAGAAATCAAGTAGTGGAGTGCTATCTATAAGCAAGCTAACTGAGGGAAAGCACAAGGTCCCAGATTTAAGCCATGGTTTCTGCTTAAATACACACACACACACACACACACACACACACTCCTATAACCTTGTTTAATTGTGTGCATACACATCTACAATATATCCATATTATAGTTCACATTTTGTTAATTATATATAGCCCTAATGAGCACTTATATTTTCCCACATTTTTGATTACCTAGAATTCAGATACACTTGTATATGCTTTCTTGTATATGTGTGTGTGTTAAAGATAAATATTAAGTAGTAGAACCACTGAGTCATTAATATGTCATTTTGATACTGATAATTTACCTCCAAAATGATAAAGTTTATACATATCATGCTTTAATATTTTAATTGAAGCCGGGCGCTGGTGGCTCACGCCTGTAATCCTAGCTACTCAGGAGGCTGAGATCTGAGGATCGCGGTTCAAAGCCAGCCCGGGCAGGAGAGACCGTGAGACTCCTATCTCCAATAAACCACCAGAAAACCGGAAGTGGCGCTGTAGCTCAAGTGGTAGAGTGCTTGCCTTGAGCTGAAGAGCTGAGGGACAGCGCCCAGGACCAGAGTTCAAGCTCCACGTCCAACCAAAAAAAAATCAACAACAATATTTTAATTGACTACCTATATTCATTCATTTGACAAGTATTTAAATGTGTTTTTTTTGTACTAGATATTGTTAATAGAGGGCAGACATACAACATAATGGTAACTAATCTAAACAAGAACAGTTAGAGTGATTAAGGATGTAAGTCTAGGGCTGGGAAGGTGGCTCAGTGGTAGAGAGCTTGCCTTGCATGCCTGAGGCCCTGGGTTCAATTCCTCAGCACCACATAAGCAGAAAAAAAAAGCCGGAAGTGGCGCTGTGGCTCAAGTGGTAGAGTGCTAGCCTTGAGCTGAAAAGCTGAGGGACAGCGCCCAGGCCCAGAGTTCAGGCCCCACGACCAGAACCCCCCCCCCACCAAAAAAAAGAAAAGAAAGTGTTTCATTGTAGAATCATCATTTCTCCAATAACTGGTAAGATTAAACACATA